TTGCCTGCTTAAAAGTAAGAATATTCTGACGAATAGAAATTACATGTATATAGAACCAAAATAATGACAATGTGATTGTGGTCCTACCAGACTGACACTCTATGCACAAACTTAACACACTTCAACTTTGTTATATCAGTCTTTAGGCTATCAATTGCTTTTGTGCTGCTCTAAATGCCCAAATTGAGCTTGCATTCTACTGGTGAAAGATATGTTGCCTGCGAAAAGTTGTCTAAAGTACCAGGTGCCGTCAGTCGGTTTGGTACATACATGTACTTTCTTTGACGATTACCATTTATTGTTTGGCTTTACGTTTTTGTGGGGGGGGGGGGGGGGTTATGTTGCCGATCCCCCGGAACTCCTTATGCGGTAGATCTATCTATCATTATTACTTCATGTGATTTTTGATGACCTGAAATTGTGAGTATGTAACAACACACTCTTCATACGTTTAGGAGATTGTTTTATTTGTTGTTGTAGTTTTTTTTTTGGTCGGGTTTTTTGTTGTTGTATTTCTTATTGGTAACTCTGTAATGATAGAATGATAGAAGGAGGGCGAAAGCAGGGAGCCATGCGAATGCACCCAAACGACCTTTGGTAATGAATCATTTGTAAATTGAGAACCCTCTAGGAAAGGTTCTGGTTTTCCAAACATAATGTTGTACTTTTATCAAAATAAGATCTGTCCTTTATCAGGGCACCATGCCTATCAATAATGTCAACCATCCCTTTTTATCAAGGGCAAGACGATGGGTGATAAATTGCAGACGAGCTGATTTGGACGGAAAGCCAACTGAAGCATTAAACAAAGGAAATGTTTTGTGTGAGGAACATTTTGAGCCATCATGCTTTACAGCTGCATCTTTCTCTGCTCTCCGTTCCCGAAAGAGGATTAAGATAACCGCCGTTCCAACTAAATTCAACATTCCAAATCCTCCCACTAATGTGACCCCTAAAAGACCCCCTCCTAAAGAAAGAACTTTCCATTCCAACAGTGGATAATGACTGTGAAGTTCGTGTACCAGAGGACACACATATTGACTCTGAACAGGAATCTTCTGCAAAAGAGCAAATGGTTGTATTGCAGCAAAGATTGAGGGCAGAACGATCAAAATCATGGCGTCTTAAAAAAAAAACTGGATAGCAGCAAACAGGACCTAGCTCCACAGGACCCTGGGAATAGTAGCAACGATGAATGTGCGTTTGAAACAATGCGCAATACTCTGTCGAAGTTTTTGTCTCCAGCAGCTCTGGAATTTGTCATGTCACAAGTGAGGCTATCCAAGGCCTGTAAAAAAGGTCGCAGGTGGAAAAATTCTGACAAAAGTTTGGCGCTGGCGCTCTATCATGCATCACGCAAAGCATATTCTCCCTCCTGCAGAAGCTCTTCCAATTGCCTTCCCCCAAAACACTGAGCAAAGCAATACAAAACATCCAGATTCGGGCTGGAGTGTCAGAAAATTTCTTGAACTTGTTTAAAATAAAAGTTGAAGCCATGACATCCCAAGAACGGTTATGTGCTGTGGTATTGGACGAGATATCACTAAATTTTAGTCTAAAGTCCTCTCTGCAATATAATCCAAGCGATGATGAAGTGGAGGGCTTTGAGGACTACGGCTCACTTGGACGGACACAGAAACCAACAAACCAAGCTCTGCTTTTTATGGTACGAGGATTGGCTGCAAAGTGGAAGCAGCCTGTGTCATATGTTCTTTCTAATGGCCCAGTGAAAGGAAACATACTGGTTCAGTTGTTGATGCATGTGATACGGAATGTTATCAGCATAGGACTTATCCCCAAAGTCATTATTTGCGACCAAGGCACCAATAACAGGGCTATGTTTAGAGCCCTTGGGATAACTGAACTCACACCATTCTTTCTTTGCGACAGTCACACAATTTTTGCTCTTTTCGATCCACCGCATTTATTGAAAAGCATAAGAAACAATTTCAAACTTCATGGATTCACCTTGTATGGGCTTAACATTTCATGGGATCACAAAAAAGATTGTAGTTCCCCAATCAGGCTTGCTCCGAAACTGACCAATGGTCACATTTACTTAAGGTCATTCAGCCATCTTCGAGTGAACCTTGCCGCACAAGTCCTCAGCCATAGTGTAGCTGCAGGAATCACATGCATGGTCACGTGGAGAGCATTGCCACCAGATGCCATCCATACGGCATATTTCATCAAGCAATTAGATCAGCTCTTTAACTGCTTTAACAGCAGGTCACCTTGAGCGAAGGCCACAATGAGACATGCCATATTGGCATCATCTTGTCACATGGCATTTTTGGACCACTCTTTGGTGTGGTTGACAGGTGTAAAATGCAACAACAAAACCACCACACTCCCTTGCATCGAGGGCTGGAAACTCACCATCTCATGTCTCAAGCAGCTCTGGAATGATATGAGCTCAATCCATGGGTTTTCGTTTCTGCTGACGGGCCGACTCAACCAAGACTGCATTGAGAATATGTTCTCAATCATCCGAGAAGGAGGAGGTCACCGTTACAACCCAGATCCCTGCTAGTTTCGGTCCTCCCTCAGGCAGTCTATGATTGATTTTGTCATGGTGAGCAGTGACCACAAGAATTGCAAGGATGACCTGGATGCCTTTCTTTTTTCATTAGAGAGTGTCCAGTCCAAAGGTGCCAACATTGCTGTCAAAAGCAGACTGACACAAGATGTGCCTCTTGCTTTGAGAAAATTCATGGTAACATCTGCCACACCATCACCACAACGGCAGAGGACAACATTGTGGCATATATTGCAGGCTATGTGGCTGTCAAGCTGTCCACTGTCGTGTGTTCTGTCTGTTTTCAGCTCATGGTGGCTGGTGACACTGACCCACCATCTCAAGCACACCAGTTCATACAAGCCAAAGACTACAAGAGATGCGCACACAGTGGCCTGAAAACCCCAAGTCATCTACTTCTGTCTGCCATGCAAGCAATGGAGGCAGCATTTCGTGCTGTTGCTGATGGTGTTCTCCACGTCAGAGGGTTGAGAACGATCATCATTAAACGCCTGATGAAGGAAGAAGCCGTCAACAAGCTCGTGTGCCACAGTGACAGCAACTGCAACCTCCAGTTTTGTGTGGCAAGTCTCTTTGTGAACATCAGGCTCCACCACCACATCAGACTGAGGAATAGGTTGGTAGCGGCAGAAAAGAGAGGTCAGAAGAGACCTAGAAAAGCTGCTACTGCTACCTTCTGTCACCAGTAGCATCCTTCTGAGAACTCCCCAGTCAGTGACCGAGTCCATGGGTTCATCTTAAAGTAAGTCACCTCCGAATGAATGAATTTTTGTGATAATTTTTTTAAACAATTCGTCTGTCTTGGTGCTACTAGATCTAGTAGATCTACTTGCCATCATCAAATTTTCGTGGGTTCTTGGTAGGAGCTCTTCTTCTTCACACTCTATCATAGAGTTACTTTTGTCTTATGTATTTCCTGGCACTTATGTCTACTTAACTAAACAATCGAACTTTCTAATTTTCATTCACACGCACATGTGTGTGTGTGTGTGTGTGTGTGTGTGTGTGTGTGTGTGTGTGTGTGTGTGTGTGTGTGTGTGTGTGTGTGAGAGAGAGAGAGAGAGAGAGAGAGAGAGAGAGAGAGAGAGAGAGGGGGGGGGGGCAGAACGAGAGAGGGTGGGGAAAGAGAGTGAATGTGAGAGAGAGAGAGTGGAAAACGAGTAATTTTTCCTGAAACTTAAACTGATCATGCCTTTGATTACGGTGGTATAACTATTTTCAGATCTATAGAGACGAAGTCTATTAGTTTGTTAGAAAGTATAAAAACTTTGTTTAAAACCAACTCTTACGGCCGAGGGAGGAAGGGGAGTAGTTTAAAATATGCGATAGAATTCACAGACCCCCTTCTTTGTTGAAGGCCTAGTAACCCAGTGAACTAATTACAGAGGGTACTACATTTTCTCATGACATGACAGCATCCCTGAGCATCGCCGTGGCAGCGATCACCGCGCGTAAGTGTTTTCGCGCCCCGAGCCGGCCGATACGCGAAACAATGCATTGTTATGGAGCGCCGCCACGAGTGTCATCTCTCTATTACTGCAAAACCGTCTCTGGTCATACGAGTCCGCGGGACACATTCTGTAGGTAAGAAATTTTGAATTTTGCCCGGGTGGCGGCGAAGCCAACTCTTATAATTTATCGATTTTGGACTACCAAGGGATCTTTAACGTGCATAACTTGCACACAGGACCTCCGAGATTTTTCGATTAATCCGAGAAGGCAACGCGTAGATCTTACCTACCATAAGATCAGGGCTATGGCTGAAAGACAGTAGACAGCAGTAAGAACTTAGGGGAGGCAATAGAAAGGCTGCAGAATGAGTCGGGGCAAAGAGAGTTAGAAAGTGGAGACGAAAGCAGACGACAGAACATTGTAATTTGTAAGTGAGCAGGAAATGAGAAAGGAGAAAATATTTTAGAGAAGAACATTTCCAGTCGCTATCCGGATTCGAACCCGAGACCTTTAAATGAGAGACAAACACCTAAAAGCAGCCCAGCTTCGAGGCTGTCCTCAAGAAAACTCTAGACCACAAGAGACCCCAGGCCTTGTGTTGAAATGAAAGATAAATGTAGGCCATAACAATCAGGAACATTCAGAAGGTAAGAGACAGTGAGTGAGTAATGTCCACTTCCAAGAAATGTCTTGGGGAAACAGACACAAACTGACGCTGTCCTACACAACAAAAACCTTTCCAAAACACCACCCAAACCTCAGAGCACAAGAAACTTTCCCCAACACATCAGGTAGTTTAGTTTTAGAGTAAGAGTTTACTGCACTTGCAACACAATAAGGTCATACAAGTGTCAAAGATTACAGATGTTACAACAGAGGAACAAAAAAGTTGAGACAAGGATGATAGACGTTTGAATTCGATAGGAAAGAAGCAAATCACACCAAAGCACCCGCCAACCTCCCACTCACACATCAATACATTGAAGAAATGAACAGGAACAATGTCGAGATATGGGGCCACTGGGGTTTATTGTGATTTATCTGTGAAAGGAAGGCAAATACAAACATCCATGTACATAGTAAATATTGACTATACACGACACACTGGAACTAACATTAACAACAGTAACACACCACCAGGAGGGACCCCGCAGATTCCTCACCATGTGCCCAGACATTCCACACAAGTACGGACAATAAAAGTCAGTAAGAAGAAACAAACACAACTGTACAAACTAAAAATTAATAACTGTACAAACCAAACACACTGACAACTGTACAAACCAAACACACCGACAACCTGTAACACTTCAACAAAAATGTCATCAACAGCTTTTACTTCAGAGAGGGGGAAAAAAGCCATGGGAAGTCTATTGAAACAGACAGCTTCAAAGGCAGTTTGGAATCTTAAAACTGATAGCCTAACATACTGTTTTGTCTTTTAGGCCAAAAACATTTCATCGAAGTCGAAGGACCAAGTGTTCAGTCATGATCACCCGGAGCTTTGAGCCACTTTGAGTTCTGGAAATGGCATAAATTGCTACTTCCGATTCCTAGCCTAAACCACTGAAACTGGAAACGAGCATCGCCTTCCTACTTCCCCCACAACACAACCTCATCTGATCCTTACCCCAAATACCCCCCCCCCCCAACTTATCCAATTAAGAGAATACATCAACTTAATCCCTTGCATCTTAGTGCAATGAAACTCCTACAGCTGCACATTTTCTCTTGAGAAAAAACATGACTCCCCAAAAATACCAAGTTCTCATCTTTCAAATTCAGGAACATTAATTTTCAAACTAGACTCATAGTAGTGTTTGAAGTCCTATTTTCTGAGTAAATAGAAGTATATCGACACAATGACGACCAACAAGTAAAGGGAAAAAACAAGACAGACAGTAACAACAGAAGGAAAGAAAAGAAGTTGGACCTATTAGTTGTGTCCTCAAACCACCTGCTTCCTACACTCTGACCCAAATGATAGCAAGAGACTGGTGAATACGAGTTTGAGTAAAGATAAACACATTGACGTTGATAATGGTCAAGTAGTGCAGGGAAGAAGCAAAGAGAGACACAACAACAGAGGGAAGGAAAAGGAGTAAGGTCAACGAATTACCTTCTTTTTTCTGTTCAGCACGAAGACAAATTTGTTGAAGGTACACACAGTTACATAAATAGATGGAAAACATTTGCTTCTCTACATGTTTTTAAAAAAAGGACAGACAGAAAACATGCAGAGAAAGACACTGAACTATTGTACTCATACCGACCCATAACAGACAGCTCAAAGGAACAAAGATATAATTATGTACGAGAGCAAGAAACAAATACAGACAGCAGAACTATCATTCTTTAACTCCACAATGGACATTAAAGTTGCAAAATAGAAATTCAGAATCTTCAATAGGTTCAGCCCTGGCTTGATCTAGACATGTGCTTGACAAAACCATACTTACCATAATATACCCAAAAAATGTAAGTTTTAGTGTAAAAACCAATAACAGTAAAACCAGACAAAAGCCAAAGCTGCCAATTCTGTCACACAGCCCCCAAGATCCTGTGTTACTTACCAAACACAGATTCTCACTTCTGTAACAAAGAGTAACATCCCTGTTATGAATATTTTTGGGTGATTAACAATAAACAAATAACAAATTTTTCTAAGAGAAAGAAATAACACAGGTCACAACATGGGATCTAACACTGTAGACAGCATCATCTTACCTGATGAGCTAGCATATAAAAAAAAACTATCAACCTTCACAATACCAGCAGACCTGTAGGCCTACAGTACTAGATTCCTTGAACGTAGCAGCAGCTGAACATCATATAAAAATGCACTTACATAGATATCAGTACACCCATTGACCATTGCCATTGTCATAAAAGAGTCTACTCTTTCCGCCTGGAAGCATTTACAATAAAACATAATTCAAAACAAATACATTCATTTACCATATATTCATTCAAGAGAATCTGGACTAGTTGCGTTCCCAAGCACAGGAGATTCCTGTTCATCCATTACAAATAACAATGGAAAAGTTTAAATCAGCAAGTATAATCAATACATAACTTTTCTACTAGATCCTGAAAGAGAAGGAAACATTAAACAATTAGCAAGGATGACGGTCGCTTCATTACAATGAACAAAAAATAAACATTAGGAGCAGCATTAGAGATAAAGAGAGAGAGACTGGAAGCGGGGCACCTCTTCCGCACTGCAGCAGCGACAGCCAACATCTGCTCCCCCCCTCATCACAGGCACCATCAGCATCAAGGTCAGCAATGGTGAGCTGAGCCACACAAGTGGCCAATCCCGGGGAAACTCGCATGCAGTCTTTTGCGCTTAGTTTTAGAACACAACGTCCTTCTGCAGCTGAGAGCAAAATAGGTTGTAGTCACGCACTGAAACTCACAGGTCACGACAGTTCTCCAGAGGACCACGTGAGTGTGCAGTCATATACCAATTCTCACAGTAGGCCTCCATTCAATATCATAAAGTCTTTGACCTGTACTCAGTCCACAACCCCCCTCCCAGCTTCTTAAATTTCCTAACAACTCTTTAACTACCAGTACCAGCATATTTACATAAAGAATTTTAGGCTAGACCCAAGAACACATTGAAGAACGAATTGCCTTGACGCACCTGATGTGTGTGTATGTATCAAGAGGCATGTGTTTGGCCTAGAAGACTGTAGCCATCGCAGTCGAAGGAGAATCGAAACAGGCTTGTTTTTGCTTAGACAGCAGACTTGTACGTGCTTGACTGTGACAACTTGCTGCTCAGGTAACCAGGTACTTGTTCACCAGACACTAGGAAATACTTCAAATTAGGGGAGCCTTCTTGATATGAAAATGGCAGTTAATTCTAGGGCTGTGCTTGACTTGACATCCGGACACTTTATGTCATGAGACTTGACAACTTGAGGAAAGATCCGTTGCTTTGTAAATTCACCCACAAAGGACTTCCAAAGACTTCCTCGGCATCACTTTCCAAAGCTCAGTGTGAAGGTAGTAAACTGGACAGGAGAGGACTGGGTTAGTTTGGGCAAAAGCCAAAATATGGTACAGGGGCAAGGAGGGACGGGGATGAGGTGGGGAGGGCAAAGCATATAGGGACACAAGAACTGGAAATGTTCAGGGGCAGAAGGGTAACTCTCTCTGGGACATGGTAGGGCAGGGCATAGGGCTGTGAGAAAGATCTCTTGGATAAGGGGATTGAGATAGGCAGCTCTTGGGGTTAGGGAGACTACCAGAATCAGCCATTTTCAGAACTGTGGTGAGTGCACTGTGCTCCAATCTTACGCCTGACGAAATATTTCCCCATGGTCTTCCTTTCAGTTTAAACTGATAACGATAAAAAGAACAATATCTAGACTTAAAATTCCACAGGAAACTTACAATTTGGCTGTACACTGGTGGCAGCAAACTGTGCAGATTGGCAGCTTATTGACTTGAAGGTGTTGAACGAATTGAAAGTAGCATTCTGCATTCAGATTCATATCAGTGGTTCTCGTTGAGTTATCCAATATTATGCTGACATCCTCTCCTGGGCAATGACCGACTCACAATGCAACTCTTTACTGCTTGACAGATTTGGAAACATAATTGTAGAAAAAGCTGTTCACTGGAAAAGGCCCTGATTTTTTGCATCAATGTGCTAGCTATGACTGCTCAAACGGGCACCACCTACTTGAATGGTGACGACTGTAACATTTAGAAACATCCACTTGACTTAAAAGTAAACATTCTGAGACCGGCGCATATGTAAAATTCAAAATCCACTTGACAGGTACAACTGTAAAATGTAGCATCCGCTGGACCGCCGCGTCTTGTTACCAACGTCTGCCTATAGTTATTCATATCTCCTTGAGGTAGCAGCACCATGATGAGGTTTCAATGGGATAACTTGATAGCTGAGGCTGTCTTGTTCAGCAACATCCACAGGAGATTAAGATTTAAAAATCCATTAATATCAGTTTGATCATGATTAAAGCAAATTTCAGCAACATTCACTAGATACTATAAAATCCAGCTTCATTCACTGGACTTATTTGCAAAATTCACTTGACTGTTTTGATAGCAAAATCTGCTTGACTGTCATAGCAGTAAAATCTAGCAATATCCACTTGACTCTGTGACAGCGAAATCCAGCAACATCGGCTTGACCTACACCTGGAAAACTCAGAAAGTCGATGTACATTCATCTCAACTGCATTCTCTTGATCTTCTATGACTGCAAAATCCACAGGACTGTTATGATCTCTAAATCTTGCAATATCCTGTCAACTTCTATAAAATCTGGACCTTGGATGTCCCTCTCTGGTCACGAGATGACACTGACATGTGATAGAGTTATTCTGAACGATGAATGGAGATTTACTTGAAAACAAGACTGGAAACGTTACTGGTTGACCACGCTGTCAGATCTGATCATATGGGGGGAGGAGACGAAACCAGTCTTCAAAAATATCTATAGGTGCCATATTTCCTCTCTTGATGGGAGAACTAGGTGGGGCCAGTCAATCCATGCCCCGCTTTGATGATAGGACAAAGTGAAGATAGATGGTCCACTTTCCTGGAGGTAATAACAAAGCTCAAAATGTTGGTCCAATTGCCACCGATTCTTTGAGAGGTGTGAAGTGTGAAATGTACATCAAGACAACTCGCGCACCCCAATGTGAGATATATGAAATTTAATACTAAAATTAAGATCCCCCCTCCATCTTAACACTGAAACTTGAAAGCTGATAATCAGATTGTAACTAACCACTTGTAATGTATGAACTCAGTAAGAGAGTCATTAAATACTAACACAAGATCCATGAAAGTCTCTGTGAATGGCCATAAAATGTCTCAGCAGGGGCTTCCTACACCTACTGATACCAAAACTGACATCTTAGCTTAGCCACTTGACCACTAGACATACTTATAGGCTACAATCATAATGATGTGTTGGGTCTTGCTAACAGACACTGAGAAGTCAGTAACTGTCTTTACAACACAGTAGACAAGAACAAGAACACTTGCCTTCCACATAACTATGTCGAATGGAAATGTTTCTTCTTTTACTGTTTCTGGCTGGAGGGTACACACAATTTAGAAAATGAGAACACTTACAATCTTTCCTCCTACATTTCAAACACATCACAATTCCGCTTCCTCATACTTCCAGTCCTGCAAGTCTGAACACTGCTTTCTGGCACAGTCTTACAAATGTAGCTAATAAGCTAACAGAGGCAAGTTCCAAGCACAAATCTTGTACAAAATAACCACAAGTGTCCAGTCTCTGCATCAGATTTGTGAGAAATAAAAAGCGTTCTCGGCCAATTTTGAGGACCGTAAAGCAAGACCCACACATCTGCACATTTAACTACTCTATACTTTCCTCCGCTTACTCTATCAATAAAAGATTGCATTTAAGCACAAAAGAAGCCCAGAAACTCACAAAAGCTGAGCCTGTAGGAAGCCCCTGAAAGTGAAGCTGAAGAAAATCTTGAAGCAACGAGTGACGACAGAAAAGGGGGCGACTGACACCATAATGTTTCTGCCGAGAACACTCTACGTACTGTCTTTACCACACTGCGTGGGACTGCTGAGGCAGCCAGTACAATGATAATGATGAACGTGTTTATATCACAGCCTTTGCGCTATACGGATAGCAACATCAGCACTGTAAGATCTTTGCTTTGACCGATACAGAAATGAGATGTGTGATGACTCGGTACTACAGTGTTGGAACAATGCCCATGCTCGCTTTGCAGTCCACACTGGCCTTGTCAGCAGAAAATGTCACCCCCTTCTCCAGCAGGAACTCCATACACTTAGTCCGGTCGGCATACGCCAGCTCCTTCATGAAGAATTCCACGGGAAGCGTGGGTCGGTACCTGTATGAGTGCAGCCCAGGTCGAGAGCGGCGGTAAGACAGACAGACGCACCAGAATGGGGCGGACAGAGGAAGCAATGCGAATCGCATGATTGCCACGCACAGGCACACCCCACAAAACAATGAAAAAGAAGAAAGAAAAAAAAAGAATGTTAATAAATGCAGTTCGGTCATTATCATTCTTTCAAGCTTGAAAAACACTTCTTTAACTTAACTCTCAGTGCAAAATTATTTTTTCCAAAGAAAACACCTACAGAAAATTATTATAAAAATAAGAAAGTTGAACGTCCATTAATATCCTGAAAAGCTTAAATAAATGATTTCATTTGCTCATTTAGCTTTTAGGTCAAAGGGCCCTTGATTGGCACAAGAAATTTCAATAAAACTGTTCAAAGATATCTATCTACCTAATGACATATGATAAAAAATACTTACGTGAGCTCTGAAACAACAAAGATTAGTTAAAACACAAGAGAGAGGAAAAAGATGTTTCAATCTTTTGAAACAAAGTAAAAGTGAACACCTAGATTGAATAGCTTTTGTAGAAACTGGAAGGAACAAACTCAACAATTAAGGCGTTACGGAATATATTACTATACTATCCTGATACTTGCGTTACATCACTGCAGGCTTCTCATTTACACAAGCATAACCTGAAATATTCTTGACTTGATTTGATCTCCAGAGCAATTTAGTACCACGTTTACCTCAAAGACTATATTTTTTAAAAATAAAATTTTTTAATTCAAATTAAACCAAAAAAAAGGAGGAAAACAACAATTCTATCACTCCTACCCGAAAATGACACTTTAGTTTTAAATGCTAATAATACCTTGGAAAAATTACAACACACTAAAAAAAAAAAAAGATACTTTATGAAAAGATAAACATCACAAGAGTCTTTCAGCATTTATTTCTGGGGTTTTCTTTCTTTCTTAATTCTTTGTAGAGTAAGAGAGGCACAACATAGAAACATGAGGGGGACACAAACAGTTCAGAAACCATCAGTAGTAGGACACAACTAGAGCCGTCCAGTACAACCTCGAATCAACTTAACCTATGACTCGACTTCACACCGCTGACCCAACTCACCCCCCCCC